GATGTTGTTCAGGAAATGGCTCAGTGGAGGGCAGCTGAGAGGGTCTGGCTTGGAGCAGCATGTAGGTCAGGATGTGAGGAAGTCGGCTGGAGTGGAAGGGACACCTGTGACCTCTGGGCCGGCATCCTGGCTCTGCCTGAAAAGTCACCCATTTCTCAGAGCCTGTTTCCCATCCTTGTCTGTGTGTTCAATGGATTTTAACATGTCTTCTCACCCTGAGTGCCATGTGCACCTTCAGGATTCATTTCTATTGTCACACGCACTTTTCAGCTCAGCAAGGCTTCCTATTTAAGAGGATTAAAATTAAATCATTTGCTATGCTGTAACTTGTAACAGTTGAATACCACCTCTTACAGAAACAGTTTTCACAAAAGTCAGGACCTAAAGCCACAGGAAATCCTTGCCAGCCCTGGGGCTTCAGAAGCAGTTTTGGGCCAGGAAGAGACTGGAGGTGCAGCTGGGGAAGGAGCGGCCCAGGCTGGAGCCTAAATCCCAGTCCTGGCCGGTTCTAGGAGAGAGACCTCAGTGAAATGCTCTTCTCCTCAAATGTTCCATTTGCAGTGTGTAAAATTGTGGACAACCATGTCTTCTACTGGGAGCTGCTGCGGACTACAGCACAGAGGTCTCAGATGATTCTGGCACCCACTAATTGCTCTACAAATTTTACTTTCTTTGCACCCCATTTTCCCACAACCTCTGCTATGTGTCCCTCAGAGTGTTGTGTGTGGAAGGTGACTACATCATGGGGCCCTGTGTTCATCAGGAGATTCATCCCCAGATGAGTTTGGTACCTAAATGTGCTGTCAGCAGGTGGGGCCTGGCTGGAGGTGGGGTCCTGGGGACTTAACCTGAGAGTCTGTGTCCCTGGCCCTGACTCCCCCTTCTCTCTTTGCTTCCTCACTGCGTGGCTGAACAGCTTTCTTCTGCCACGCCCTTCCCTGCTGCCTTTCTGCCTCAGAGCCTGCCGACCTGTAACTGAAACCATGCAGCAGAATAAAGCTCTTTTCTCTAACCTCTCACTCACAGGTATTCAGTATTTCGTCTCAGCAATGAAGGACTAACACAGATTTTGGTAGCAGAGAGTTGGAGTCACTGCTGTCAGTGTACCTGACCATATGATCTGAGAGCATTGGGAGCTGGTTTGTGGGAGGAATTTGGAAAGGATTGGAGGTGCCAGGTAGAGAAGCCCAAGCATGTGGAAATATAGAAATGGAGACACAGGAAAGGAAGCTAAAAGCCCAGGTGAATACGAATTTCTTTAAGCAGGTGGGTCAGTCATAGCAGGAGCTGGGGCTGTGCACAGCTGAGGGTATATAAAGGGGGGCAATTTTTATTTTTATTTATTTTTAATTTTTTTTTTTGGTTTTTCTCTGGTACCGGGAACTGAACTCACGACCTTGTGATTGCCAGGCAGGCGCTTTTGCCGCTGAGCTAAATCCCCAGCCCAGAGGGGGGCAATTTTATTTCCATAAATTTCAGGTGAGGGTAGTGACAAAGTATTGTATTTTGTATTTCAACTGTATTGAGCTTTTGATGGAATATATTGGAAACATCTGAACAGCAAGAAAGAATAAACTAAGTCTCCAGTTTGTTTTAATGTTTCCTCCCTCATTCTCCTTCACTCTTTTGTCCCATCGATGGATCCGTGATCTCTACTCACCCTTTTTTGCCTTTAATCCTCTGTCCACCCACCTGTCACACTATAGCATCTGACTTCACATATGGTTCAGCTTTGAATTCAGGTCCTTAGTGCATATTAGAAAACATATATTTAATGATAAGAAGGCTCCTTTCTGACGGAATTTGGTTTGTCCCTAATCCCTGTAAGAGAATTTCTCTCAGGCTTTAACAAAATAATGTAGCACTTGGGGGCAAAGATGCAGCCCAGCAGCCCCGCACTGGAGGCCAAGATGGAGAAGACCTCCATGGCCACCATGACCTTCCCCTTGGTGCTGTGGTACACGGGGAGGAAGGTGACCCACACACTGCAGAACACCAGCATGCTGAACGTCAGGAACTTGGCTTCATTGAACGTGTCGGGCAGGTTCCTGGCCAGGAAAGCCACGGTGAAGCTCAGCAGGGCCAGGGAGCCCAGGTATCCCAGCACACAGTAGAAGGCAGTGAGGGAGCCCTTGTTGCACACGATGATGATGTGGCCATGTTCAGAGTGAGCGTCTGTGTCAATGTAGGGTGGATTTGTCCCCATCCAGACTCCACAGAGAGTGAGTTGGATGAGGGAGCAGATGGGGATGATGGAGTTAGGAGCCCCTGATACCAGCAACTGCCTCATCCTTCTGCCCGGAGCAGTGACCTTAAAGGCCAGCACCACAGTAATGGTTTTGGCCAAGACAGAGGAAACAGCCACAGTGAACACGACTCCAAATGTGGTCTGCTGCAGGATGCAGGTGGCTGTGCTGGGCCGGCCAATGAAGAGCAAGGAGCAGAGGAAGCAGCAGGTGAGGGAGATGAGCAGGGTGTAGCTGAGAGCCCGGTTGTTGGCCTTGACGATGGGAGTGTCTCGGTGCTTCACAAAGAGCCCAAGGACAGCAGCTGTGAGGACAGTGAGACTCAGGGCTGTGCCAGCCAGAGCCTTACCCAAGGGGTCTTCATAAGCCAGAAAAGTCACAGCTTTTTGCAGGCAGTGGTTTCTCTGAGTGTTGGCATACTGATGATCTGGACACTTCACACACTGCTCCATATCTAGCAAAAATTAAAATTGTCATTTGCTTAGCTTTATTGTTTGTTTTACAGACCCATCCCCTGAAACTCATTAGAGTTGCTAGAGCTAAATTGTCACTTAATATTTTCATGTTTAATCTTTCTCTTTGTTTTTCTTTATGTGGGATTGAACTCAGAAACTTTGCACTGAGATATATTTGCAGCCCTTTTAAATTTTATTATTTTGAGAAAGACTGTCGTTAAAACATTCTTCTGTGTTCTGACTTAAAATCCTCCTGCCTCAGCCTCTCAGAGTCTGGATTTCAGGCATGCAGCATCCCATCTCACTTTTCCATTTCTTTCTAGACACAAAATTAAAGAACAGTATATAGAGAATAACTCCCGAATAATAACATTTACTATTTATTCTCCTTTTATGTCTGGCATTTTTCAACCTTTATTACTTACTTCACTTATGTGATCTAAATCAAACCTTTATGAATGATTCCCCAGATAGTCAGTGAACAACTTCATATGAGGAAGTCAACATAACTTGCTCAGTCCCAGGGAAATGCATGTGAAGAAACATATTGAATGTCAAGTAGTTCCATTAGAGAGCCTCTCCATCTATGAATGTGCTTTATGTAACCACTTATTTAATTTTTATTGTCAAAGGAGTATTTCAATAGCTTAATTCTTATAATTTTCAAAACCATTACAGGATATATCACTACATATTTAATGATCTTAAATGTTGCAAAATTCAATTTTCAAAATTTCATCCATGAGTGCCTTATGACTGAGGTGTGGAAACAGGGTTTTTTTTATCATAGTGTTGTATTCCATTTTCATGTATTTTATGCTTAAAAATTAATATCACTGGAAAATCCTATGATTTCTGTTTCTCCCTTTCTAATATATTTTTTTTTTCTGTGTTTTCTTCATTGCACTGACCGTGATGTAGAGTGTAATGTCTGGCAGAAGTATGATACAGAAAGTCCTGATCTCATTCCTGTTTTCTAAAGTGGACCACAAATTGTAAGGTGAGCTATAGGATACCACAAATACCATCCTTTGGAGCAGGGGGAGTTACAGACTTTTCTCCTACTCCTTTGGTAAGAAATACTCTCGTTGTTTCTTTGTAGGTTGTATAGTGATGTACAGCTTTATTATATTGCTTCCATTTATTAGCAGTTTTTCTTCTCCCAGGAGCTAGTGCATTACATTATATTTTATAAACTGAGTTTTCTCATGGTATACCGCCCCTGAAGCACATACCTCAGTTTGAAATAGAAAATGTGAATTTAGTTTGAAAAGGAAAGTGGACTGTAAACTTGGTTTCTTCTAAGTGCATTTTCAGCTATGAGTAATACGATTTAGTTCCTGTGTTAAAATGAATTGATTTTCCACTTTCCCTTTTCTCTGAAAGAATGAGGTCAGTACTAGTATGTTGTTGAATGCTTATAAATTTCACTGTTAATAGTATTAATCAAGAAAAATTTGTAGTGAAATATTACACACTGGGTTCCCATTTGCTAATAGATGTGGTACTATAGAGATATTCATAGTATGGAGACATTTTATTTTTCTTCAGACTGTTTTGCTAAATTTTCCCATGTATTTAGAGATTTCTAGGCACACACTGATGTGAAATTCCTTATACTTGCATATGGAAAGATTGTTATATAACTACACTAATGATCAAATTTCTCAGGATGTACAGCCTTTCAATTCTTTGCTTTCTACCTAATCAACTGTACTAAGAGTTGTCACTTTTTTATCTTTTTATTTCAAAAATTTAAAAACTGACAAAACAACAATGAAGACAAAATCAAAACAACACAAAAACAACAAAAATGAAACATGACCTCATGACAAAATGGTAGATATTTACACTGGTTGCTAAATTACATACTGCTATCTTCAAAAAAGTTGACCTCATGGACAGAGTTGTCACTTTTTGTTACCAGAATTATATTTAA